AGTGGCCTTTTGAAGGTGGTGCAAGCACAAGGAATGCTTGTTGAAATAATTGTACAGGGGCCAGTATCCCATCATCAAGTCACCCTTTACTTACATGTGCTCAATACATGTGCTCTGACCAGCCAACTCAGAGCCAGTCCCGAGAATGAGGAGACTCTCTCAATCTCCTATTTACCTCTGTCAGCCAGGGCTCTCTGATTGGCACAAGTTAACAACCCAAACAAGAATCTCAGTCAATGAGATCCACCTGTCCCTTATCGCAATCACTACACTGGTCTTTTGCAGATCTCGTCGAGTGAGGGTTTGAATTAAGAAGCAGAGACATCTTACTGCAGTCATACAGGGCCATTGAGAGAGTACACTTGGAGTATTATGTGCCATTTTGGTCTCCCTAAGAAAGGATATACTTGCTACAGAGGGAGTGCAGCAGAGATTCACCAAGATGATACCAGGGATGGCAAGGCTATCACACAAGAAGTGATTAGTTCAACTGGACCTCTACTCAAGTATAGAAGGATGAGGGGAGATCTGATTGAAATGTATAAAATTCTAACAGGGCTGGACAGACTACATACAGAGAGAATGTGTCCCCTGGTTCCGGAGTATAGAACCAAGGGAGACAGTCTCAGGATACAGGGTGAGCCATTTAGCACTGAGATGAGGAAAAATTTCTTCACTCAAAAAGGTACCAAACCCGTGGAATTCTCTGCCAAAGGAGGTTGTGGAGGCCAAGTCACTGAATATGTTCAAGAAGGAGACAAACACATTTTTAGATTTTAAAGGCATCAAGAGCTATGGGTGAAAGCAAGAACATGGCATTGAGACAGAGGATCAGCCTTGGTCATACTGAATGGCAGAGCAGGTTTGAAGGGCCGAATGGCTATTCCTGCTCCTAGTATCTACGAGTGTTAAGATGGGAATCAAATCGGATAAAAGGGGCACCGTTGAGGTGGAGTACATAGTAAATGAACATCTGGTGAGATACAGCGAGAAACCTCTCTGGGCCGTGTGGTGAGAATCCCTCCAAAAAAATTGGCATTTAGGCCAAAAAAATTAAACTTAGTCTGAAAATTTGCACACTCTTCTCTGTCTCATCTTTGAAAATGGCAACAGAATTTTAAATTTCTGAGCATAACAAACAATGGGTTAATAGGTTAGACAGAAAAAGTCTTTAATCTCTGCGACCTGGGTTCAAATTCATCTGAAGACAGCCTCATTCCTCGAAGGCTGGGGCACTGTAAGAGTAGTTGTGGAACAACTAGTCAGTTAATAATAGAAAAGCAATTATCCAATAATTCACGCTAACCAGAAATAATATTGTAATGTACTCCGTAATTGCTGAGGAAAAAAATCAAATTGTTTAACAATTAAAGCTAATTGACTCTCCATGAAGAAAACAATAGGTTAGACATTTGCCCTGGCAAGAGAACATCTGAGCAGCACATCCCCAGGAGAAAATGATTTTCACTTATCCAATAATAATAGCCCTCACCTTCATAAAACAAAACTTACAGAAAAAAAGTACATAAAGTAAAAATAGTATTCAACATTTCAAATGAGAAGATATACTAAATCCTGGAACATACTGGAAATGAGTCAGACTGAAACAATTCTAATAAAACATTCTGTAAGAACATTAATGGAACACTTTCCAACAACCCTAATTACTTATGTAATGACTCATGTTCCTGCATTCACTTCAGATATATATAAAAAAATAAACATTCTGGTTCATTTAGAATTTAGACCATTCTACAGAAGCATGGAAGTAAACAATAAACTTGACTAGGGATCCGCTAAGTCTTTCCAACTTTATTTACACGTCAACTGCATCCCTGAATTGAGTTGTACATGCCAAGGTCACTGCTGTATTGTAACAATCAGGCTATACAAAAATTCATCTCTGCATATACCAGCAGACCTGGTGGCAGCACATTGGAATTATTAGGCTAGTAATCCAGAGATCCACACTAATGTCTGAGGTTATGAGTTCAAATTACACCTTGACAGTGGGTGAAATTGGAGTTTAATTTAAGAAAAAAAGTAATAAAGCTATAAGGAAAACGGAGGAAAATCTGCCACCCTCACCCAATCCGTGTTACATCAGACTCTAGATTCACAGCAACATGTACAGTTCGTAAATATGCTGTAAAATGGGCTCACTAGCTACTTGATTGTATACAACTGCTACAAAATTCAATAACAGAAGGAAAATTGGACAGGACCAAGATACCAGAAATGATCATGGCAAGAATAGCCTTGTCAACACTGCAAAGTCCTCCTTACTAACATTTGGGGAAGCAATAGATAAATAGATGTTTAGATTTTAAGGCCATCAAATGATATTGGAGGGAAAGCAGGAATACAGCATTGAGATAGGAGAATCAGACATAACCTTACTGAATGATAGAGCAGGCTTAAAGAATTGAGTGGCCTACTCTAGCTTCCAGTTTCTGTGTTTCTAATAACTGGTGTCCCAAAGTGGATTGCCTGGTAAACCACTGCTATTAAGTATCATCTATATTTTTAATTGCTTTGGGTCTTACAAATGTAGATAAAACACACCACAAAATCTTACTAATGGTATGCCAAGCAGACATAATAGACAAAGTGACCACAAAACCAATGGATCAGATGTAGATATTGTAGTCCTACCATATCCAGGCATCTGGGGTGGTGGATATCACTGGAGGAGGAGACTCTCAAATATCCCTAATGTTATAATGGGAGCCAATCTTTAACCAGAAGTGCTGAAGGAATGATCCACCTTGGACTCCTCTTGAGATACCCAGTCTCTTAGCTGCCAACTTAATTCACTACACAAAATCAAAAAATGACTTAAAACACTGGACTCTGCAAAAGCTATGGGCTGACAACATTCCAACAATAATAATAAGGACTTGCACTCCAAAACTAGCAACACACCTCTAGCCCCTTTCAATAGAACAATAACACCAGCATCTACCCAACAATGTAAAAAATTGCCCAGGTATGTCCTGCCCACAAAAAGAAAAGTACAAAACCAACCGGGCCAAATATTGCCTCATCAAGGCATTATGTGGGGCAGCACAGGGCTCAGTAGCTAGCACTGCTGCCTCACAGCGCCAGGGACCCAGGTTCGATTCCAGCCTTGGGCAACTGTGTGTGGAGTTTGCACATTCTCCCTGTGTCTGTGTGTATTTCCTCTGGGTGCTTCAGTTTCCCGCCACAGTCCAAAGATGTTAAGTGGATTGGCTATGCTAAATTGCCCATAGTGTCTGGGATGGGAAATGCATTGATAGGGTATGGGTAGGTCAGGGTGGGATGCTCTTTGGAGGGTTGGTGTGGACTCGATGGGCTGAATGGCCTGCTTTCACACTGTAGGGATTCTGATACTCTCAATCATCAGCAAAGTAATGGAAGCTGTTATTGACAGAACTGTCAAGCGAACCTTCCTCAACAATAATCTGTTCACTGATATTTAGTTTGGGTTTGCTAGACCCACTCAGTCCCTAATCTCATTACAAACTTGGAACAAAGATGGTCAAAAGATCTGGATTCCAGAGGGAACATGAGTGATTACCCTTAATATCAAGGGTGCATTTTACTGAATGAGACATCAAGGAGCCTCAGCAGAACTAGAGTTAAATGGGAATCAAGGGATAACTCTGTTGATTGGAGTCATACCTAGAACAAATGATGATGATTGTGGGTTGTTGGAGGTGAAACATCTCAGTCCAAGGATATCACCATCGGAGTTTCTCAGGGTAGTGTCAGAGGGCAAACAATTTTAATTAGCTGTTTTAATGACCCACCCTCCATCATAAGGTCAAAAATGGGTATTTTGCTCATGATTAGACAATGTTCAGCACCATTCATAACTCCCCAGATACTGAAATAGTTCATGTCCAAATACAGCAAGAACTGAACAATATCCAGTTGGGTTTAGGCTGAAATGTGTCAAGTAATATTTGTGCCTCACAAAGACCAGACAACAACCATCTCCAACAAGACAGAATCTAATCATTCAATGGCCTAGCCACCACTGAATCCCCAGTAACACTACTGATCAGAACAGCAAGTCATAAAAATAGTGGTTCCAACGGTAGGTCAGAAGCTAGGAATTCTGTGGTGAGTAACTCATCTCCTAACTCAAAGGCCTGCATCAACTTCCATGCACAAATCAGGAATATGCTGGAACACTCTCCACTTGCCTACAACACTCAAGAAGCTCAACATCATCCAGAGACAAAGCAGCATGCTTGACTAACATTCACTTCCTTCACCACTGCTGTGCACATTCTACAAGGGATGTAACATCTCACCAAGGTATCATCAACAGTATCTTCTAAACGTACAAGTTCTACAACCTAAAGTGACTGGAGCAGTATACACAGAGGTGCACCACCACTGCAGCTCCCCTCCATGACACTCACCACCACTTGGAACTATATGATCATTCCTTCACTGCCACCAAGTTAAATTCTCTCTTCTAGCATTGTGGGTTCACCTACACAAATGAACTACAGTAACTCAAACATAAGCTCACTACCATCTTCAAGGGAAATAGCGATGGGCAGTAAATGTTGACATAACTGGACGTCTATTTTTAGTTCATTCATGGGATAAGTGGCTCTTTAGTAGTATGACGAGATGCACACCAGTATTATAGGAATAAGCCCCACAAATATGAGGAAAAACATAAACTGGCAGTACTTCAGATGTCAGCCACAATACAACACTAGTGTCAATGATACAAATCTTTCCCATAATCTCCATGATGGAGTGCATTTCAAACACACCTATTGAAAAATTATTTGTACTCTGGAAATTGACATGAAGTGCAGATTTCTTTGAGTTTTTTTTTGTTTTCTACTTCAGTCTTCTTCTCTTTGAACTGCTGATGATTTCCATGTGACTGTGTAGTGATCCAGAAATATTACCCAGCCATGATTTAAATGTGCTCTTATAAATAAGACATTTCATAATTAAACACACACAAATGATTGGCGACTTCCTACCTATAAGTTGCAATGTAATGGATAGGAAAGGACCCCTCTTGATTATTCTCCCACATGCAAGAAATTCTATAAAAATTTGAAGCCGTGCAGTGCACCAGTGGCTTACTTGGAGGATCTGTTGATAAAACAATAAAAAAAGTTCAAACTATTGACAATACTCTGAGAAAGTACTTATATGAAACACATTTTCTAAGAATTCATTATGTACTGGTTTTAAAATGAAAAAGTAGTATTAGCCTGCCAAAATGACAGAAAACAAAACATCTGCTGAATATGAGCAAACTCCCACCATATAGAAAGTTTGTAGTACCTGATAGAACATAAGCTTGTAAAGCAGTTATTAGGTTTCCAAGTTACTTGATAAGATATGCATCGAAAGGTTACTTTATTTATCCGAACAATTTGGTACATAGGGCAGTTTCAAGACTAAGATCTGGTCAGTCAGGACTGAGAAGCATACACATGTTTTCAAGGAGTTGTGAATCTTTAGAATTCCCCACCTTAGTGGGTTGTGGGGCTTCCATTGTTTGAATATCTTTAACAGTCCAGGTAGACTGATTTTTGGTGACTTAGGGAATCCCGGGCGAGTGGGCTGGAAAGTGGGCTTGAGGCCATAGATCAGCCGTGATCACATTTAATGGCAGAGGAGAGTTCATCTGACATATGGCCTATGCCTGCTCCAGTTTTTTACAATCTAGTTTAGGTGATCTGGAATTAAGACCCGGCTCATACTGTTTTGTAATCAGAAGCACGTAGGTGTGCAAAGATGGCCTCAGATGATTCTGCACAAAAGTACCTGTCCTCCAGAGCATTGATCAGACTGGTAAATATCCTACCATGTGAGGATTCTTTGGGTAACATAACCCAATACACCACAGCATATTACAGAGCATAATTAGGCTCTTTTGCATGCAGCTTTGATAGACATATGAATAATTTCAACCACTGAAGATGTCTGGTATGTTTCGTTGCCTGTACCATGATTTGAGTTGTAGGAGATCAAAGGAACAAGACAACAGCGAAGTGTTTTGGATCTAATTTAGTATTGAAGTAACACTAAAATGGATTGCCAAGCTGATTTATTCTGCAACATATGATTTAGAATCGTGAACTGAGGCAGTGTAAAATAAATATTCTAGGTGTAAGCCTGATGAGCTCATTTTTTGTCTGAAAGTTTACCTGCAGGCCAATAAAGGAAAACAGTAAAATATTTCCAGAATAATTTTAATTATTTTAGAGTGCTGCTGCCCCATTTGTATGTAGACACCTTGGATATACATTACTAAAAATGCAGTACATTTAAATAAGAATACCAATTAACTCAATTAATTATATGGCTATATAGCAAAACTAAACTTGAAGTTTTAGCACAACTGTCACATATTAAACAGAAAACCAATTTGCAACAGGGTAACTCAGTATGCTCATACACAAAATGTTTTAATCAACACCTTAATGCTGTTTAAATAATTTTAACCATTATTCCCAAGAGAAACCTTAAAACGTTATTACCTGCAATTGGAAGTTACTCATCCCGTAGATTTTTTTTTTATGAATTGAACTGTAACATCCACTGCAGTAGTCTCTTACAAGTTTTATAAGCAATATCAGATATTGGATGAATCTTTAGTTTGACTTACATCCAAGTTTTAGTTGGGTCCAGTGCAACAATCTTCCAGTCTCATCATGGCAACTGTAATTTCCTTCCATTGACAAGTTTGCCATCGACAAAACAAGACTTCCATTTTGTCCTTTCAAATTGTTAGTTAAGGTCACAAGGGTCCCATTAACCTTCCATTGAATAATTCTGTTGGTAAAGTCACATGCTGTAAGAATAATTCAGTGCATGCATAAAACCTCAATAAAATGATGTTTAACTCTCAAATAATCGGGATTCATCAGGGTCCTGAAAATTCACAATTTTATTTCAATGTTTCATTTCTACACATTTTTCTTTTTATGCTGAAAATACTGTCCTCTTCTAGATGTTTCCAAAAGAATTATATAATTCTAACTGCACTAAAATAGTAAAACTTGTTTATGTGGCACTTTTACTTCTCCGAGGAAGCTGCTGTAGTGATAACAAAATTAGTTATCTCTCTATTCCAACATCTTGAAAAGGTTTGTGAGCTGTTCTGAATTCTGTAGATTCTTCAACCCATGTACATATTTTCACTTGCCCTATTCTCTCTTCATCTCTATAAAGGTAAAGGGATGAAAGGATTATTCTTCAAATTTACTACTTAGGAGCCAGATCTTGATGTCAGACTATATCCAATGCCTGTCTGAATTTCTAGTGCAATCTAAGAAGAGGAATGTGATCAAAATGAGCAGGAAAGAAATCAGAGATAGTAGGAACTGCAGATGCTGGAGAATCCGAGACAACAAGGTGCAGGGCTGGATGAACACAGCAGGCCAAGCAGCATCCCTCCCACCCACGGCCTCCAACCTCATCGTTCCCCAACCTCGCACTGCCCGCTTCTATCTCCTTCCCAAAATCCACAAACCTGAATGCCCTGGTCGACCCATTGTCTCTGCCTGCTCCTGCCCCACCGAACTTATCTCCAACTATCTCGACTCCATTTTCTCCCCCTTGGTCCAGGAACTCCCTACCTATGTCCGTGACACCACCCACGCCCTCCACCTCCTCCAGAACTTCCAATTCCCCGGTCCCCAACACCTCATCTTTACCATGGACGTCCAGTCCCTCTACACCTGCATTCCCCATGCAGATGGCCTTAAGGCCCTCCGCTTCTTCCTGTCCCGCAGGCCCGACCAGTCCCCCTCCACTGACACCCTCATCCGCTTAGCCGAACTCGTCCTCACACTCAACAACTTCTCTTTCAATTCCTCCCACTTCCTACAGACAAAGGGGGTAGCCATGGGTACCCGCATGGGCCCAAGCTACGCCTGCCTCTTTGTAGGTTACGTGGAACAATCCCTCTTCCGTACCTACACCGGCCCTAAACCCCACCTCTTCCTCCGTTACATTGATGACTGTATCGGTGCCGCCTCGTGCTCCCACGAGGAGCTCGAACAGTTCATACACTTCACTAACACCTTCCACCCCAACCTTAAGTTTACCTGGACCATCTCTAACACCTCTCTCCCCTTCCTGGACCTCTCTGTCTCCATATCGGGCAACCACCTCGAAACCGATATTCATTTCAAGCCCACCGACTCCCACAGCTACCTAGAATACTCCTCCTCCCACCCACCTTCCTGCAAAAATGCTATCCCCTATTCCCAATTCCTTCGCCTCCGCCGCATCTGCTCCCAGGATGAGGCATTCCACTCCCGTACATCTCAGTTGTCCTCGTTTTTCAAGGACCGTAACTTCCCCTCCTCGGTGGTCGAGAACGCCCTCAACCGTGTCTCCCACATCTCCCGCACCTCATCCCTCACACCCCGTCCACGCAATAAAAACCAAAAAAGAATCCCCCTCGTCCTCACGTACCACCCCACCAACCTCCGGATCCAACGCATCATCCTCCGACACTTCCGCCATCTGCAATCCGACCCCACCACCAAAGACATCTTTCCCTCCCCACCCTTATCTGCTTTCCGGAGGGACCACTCTCTCCGTGACTCCCTTGTCCGCTCCACACTCCCCTCCAGCCCCACCACACCCGGCACTTTTCCCTGCAACCGCAGGAAGTGCTACACCTGCCCCCATACCTCCTCCCTCACCCCCATCCCAGGCCCCAAGAAGACTTTCCACATCAAGCAGATGTTCACCTGCACATCTGCCAATGTGGTATACTGCATCCGCTGTACCCGGTGTGGCTTCCTCTACATCGGGGAAACCAAGCGGAGACTCGGGGACCGCTTTGCAGAACACTTACGCTCGGTTCGCAACAAACAACTGCACCTCCCAGTCGCGAACCATTTCAACTCCCCCTCCCATTCCTCAGACGACATGTCCATCCTGGGCCTCCTGCAGTGCCACAACGATGCCACCTGAAGGTTGCAGGAACAGCAACTCATATTCCGCTTGGGAACCCTGCAGCCCAATGGTATCAATGTGGATTTCACAAGTTTCAAAATCTCCCCTCCCCCTACCGCATCCCAAAACCAGTCCAGCTCGTCCCTGCCTCCCTAACCTGTTCTTCCTCCCACCTATACCCTCCTCCCACCTCAAGCCACACCTCCATCTCCTACTGACCAACCTCATCCCGCCCCCTTGACCTGTCCGTCCTCCCTGGACTGACCTAGCCCCTTCCTAACTCCCTACCTACACTCACCTTTACTGGCTCCATCCCCGCCTCTTCGACCTGTTTGTTTCCTCTCCACCTATCCTCTCCTCTATCCCCCTTCTATCCGCCTCCCACTCTCTCCCTATTTATTTCAAAACCCCCTTCCCCTCCCCCTTTTCTGATGAAGGGTCTAGGCCTGAAACGTCAGCCTCTCTGCTCCTATGATGCTGCTTGGCCTGCTGTGTTCATCCAGCCCTGCACCTTGTTGTCTCAGATTCTCCAGCATCTGCAGTTCCTACTATCTCTATCCTTGGAAATATATTGGCATTTCTTTAATGGCCTGTGTCATAATTCTGTAAGTCTCCTTCTAATGGCTTTGTGGGTCTAACTACAACCAATGGACTGCTGTGGTTCAAGAAGGTAACCCCCCACCTTCTGCTCAAGGGCAACCAGGGATGTGACCACACTTATCATGTTGGAGGGTCCTCTGTCAAACTGGTGCTGAATTCCTCTGTGTTCCTTGATATTGAACATAGGCATTGTGGAGCACCAGGTGATGACTAAGACTTTCCAATTTTCTGCATCTTCCCATCAAAGTCCTTCCCAGCAGTAGTACTAACTTGCCAGTGACCTGACCCTACAACACACTAGTTCCTGCATGATCTTTCTCTTCCACTCCAGCTGCTGTGCACTTGTGTCCAGTATTTCACTATGTGTAGATTCCTCCTGTATCCTAGCTTCCAAAATATGTGTCAGTAGGTGGAACTTTCCTTTCGGGAATACAAGTTCAACAGTGATTGCAGAACCTCTGCTTAGGGACAGATTGGCTTCTGTAATTACAAGATTGTCGCCATATTACATATGCATGCACAGAAAGCATGGTGCATCTTGTAGCTAAGGTGAGCAGGATGTTGATGCCACCACCATTATCTTAAAGGGTCAAAGTCTTGTTTTATGAGATATGTCTCACAGTTTTTTTTTTATTAACTCACAGGATGTGGATATCTTTGGCTCGGCCAACATTTATTGCCAGATCCGAATTGCCTGGAGGGCAATATCAACCACATTGCTGTGATTCTGGAGTCACATGTCATCCAGACCAGGTGAAGATAACAGGTTTTCTTCCCTAAAAGACGTTAGTTAACCAGATGGGTTTTTCTGATAATTGGCAATGGTTTCATGGTCATCATTAGACCCTTAATTTCAGATTCTTCTTCGCCAGCTGCTGCACCTGCATGCTTACCACACTGGTGTGCTAGGGGTAGCAGCTGGCCCGAGTTGACTGGAGGGAGATCCTAACAGGGAAAATGGTGGTGAGGCAATGGCAAGATTTTCTGGGTGTAATTTGGGAGGTACAGCAGAAATTCATCCTAAGGAAGAAGAAACATGTTAAGGGGAAATTGAAGCAGCCATGGCTGACAAGGGAAGTCAGGGACAGCGTAAAAGCGAAAAAAAAAGCATAGAAAGTGGTGAAAATTAGTGAGAAGCCAGAGGATTGCGAAGCCTTTTAAAACCAGCAGAAGATAACTAAAACAAAAGGGGGAGAATACGAAATATAAGGGTAAATTAGCTCATAATATAAAAGAACAGTGCAAGAGTTTTTAAATATCTAGTAGCTAACAGAGAGAGTGGACTGTGGGAAAATGAGGCTGGAGAAATAGTAATGGGGAACAAAGAAATGGCAGAGGAACTGAATAGATACTTTGCATCTGTTTTCATGGTGGAAGAAACCAAAAGCACACTAGAACTTTTAGAGAGTCGGGGCAAAGGTGAAGGTAGTGGCCATCATTAAGGAGAAGGTGCTGGCGAAGCTGAAAGGTCTGAAGGTGGAAAAGATCACTCAGACCAAATGGATTACACCCCAGAGTTTTGAAGGTGATAGCTGAGGAAATTGTAGAGGCATTGATGGTGATTTTTCAGGAATCACTGGAGTCAGGGAGAATCTGAGAGGACTGATATATAGCTAATGTAACACCATTGTTTAAGAGGGGAGAAAGGTAGAAGACAGAACTATAGACCAGACTTCAGTCATTGGGAAGATCTTAGGGTTCATTATTAAGGATGAGATTGCAGAGTACTTGGAAGTGCATGGGTCAGCATGGCTTCATCAAGGGGAGGTCATACCTGACAAATCTTAGAATTTTTTAAGGAGGTAACGAGCAAGTTAGGCGAAGGAAAGCTAGTGGATGTGATCTATTGGGATTTCTTGAAGGCCTTTAACAAGTTGCCACACAGGGGCTGCTTAATAAGAGCCCATGGTATTAGGTGCAAATTACTGGCGTGGGTAGAGGATTGGCTTCCTGGCAAAAGGTAGAGAGTGGAGATAAAGGGGCTTTATTGGGATGGCAGCTAGTGATTGTGGAATTCTACAGAGGCCACTGTTGGGACAACAACTATTCATGTTATACATTAATGAGCTGGATAAAGGAATGGAGGGCATTGTTGCTGAGTTTGTAGATGAGACAACGATAAGTGGAAAGACAGGTAGTGTTGAGGAAGCGGGGAGGCTGCAAAAGGACTGGACAGGCTAGGAGAGTGGGCAAAGAAGTGTCAGATGGAATACAATGTGTGAAAGTGTGACAGTGTGCACTTTATTGGGAAGACTAA